TATTCAGTTTATTTGTACAATTATTTTATACAATATAATTTCTTATTCAGTGCTTTAAGTGTTTCAAGTAGGTCTATTTTTTTTTGTAATTTGTGGCTGTTTACTTGTCTTAAGTATAAGCTTGTTTTTAATTAGGCTAGTATTTTTTATTTTTTTAAATATTGAAATTGGTAACAAGAATTATGAAATTTCAATGCATCAAAATTTTGATAGGATAAAAATCCTATTTAAAGCTATATATATATATTATATTTGTAATACGGGGCCCTGCAGTAAGTCATAGCCCCGGGGCCCAGTAAGGTCTTAATGCAGCCCTGTATATGGGATAAAATAAAGTTCTGTGGTTCCGAAGTTACATCTACAAACGCTATTACCGTTTAATCGAATGCAGAAAACATACGAGCCAGCCAGGAGTCGAACCTAGAATCTTCTGATCCGTAGTCAGACGCGTTATCCATTGCGCCACTGGCCCTTGTGAAGAAATTGGGGGCCCACGTGACCCTATGTAGTATGACGGTACAAGCTGTCTCATTTCGTAGACTGTTGCGCCCTCCTGTGGTCGCGTTTGATGGCCTCATTGAGGTCATTGAGGCTGCCTCATTTCAGAAAAGTAACAATTACACTCCGAAATAAAAAAGGTATCACAATATTTTACTCCTCACGAGAAATACCAACCAATTTTATAATGGTTACGTTTCTGAAATTAGACATCCTCGATTATATATATATGCAGCCGGCCGACAAAATACGACCATAGGAGGGCGCAGTAGTCTTCGAAATGAGACACAGCGACTATAGACTGTGTAAACGACATGAACGTGTGAACTACAAACCTTTCTTTTCTGGTAGACTATCCCTTAAAAATTGGGTGTTTTCATTTCATTAAAATGGTTGGCAGAGCCATCATTATGATCACAAGTTGTAATCATCGCCTAACTATGTCTGCTTAACTGAATACATGACGTTAACTAGGGGTATTATCTTACAGCTGTATGCTACTGCTATATGTATATTCGTATTACAAATAAAAGATACAGATACAGCAAAACGTGCATTTTATCCGCCGAAATAGCTCAGTTGGGAGAGCGTTAGACTGAAGATCTGAAGGTCCCTGGTTCGATTAATTTCAGTGGCATAGGCCAGTGTTTCACAATCTTTTTTTTAGTCACGGCACCCTTTGGAAATTTTAACAAACTTGTGGTACCCTACAAAATTAATTTTGTCACAATATTTAAATTTCTAACTTTGATATGATAATTTGAGAAGTATAGATATTCGATACAACAGGGAAGAACTGCAGAATATAATGTCATACAGATATTTTTAATATTATAAAAAAAATTTGTCCATCAATGGTGGCAATCAGTAGGCTAATTTCTAATGAAGAGACCAATTTATAGCCATAAGCCATAGATACCTTCAAAATGTCTCACAAGAAAGAAACCTGTCTTGAACAGTAAAAACAATAGAAAGTATAAGTGTTTTGTAACATGAATGGAGAGAACAAACTGCATGTGTTCCTCATTTTGTGAAACAAACAGGCAAAGGGAAATTGTTTTCTTTGAGTTTAAGATGAGGGTTGTTGATTTAGTTTTTTTTTTCTATAACAAACACGTGCCATAACTTAAATTACACATGAATTGGGCTAATTTCCATTTCTTCTAAGTACATACGTCATGTGTACGTATTATAAACCCCGCCCTCATTTTTGACGACGCACGTTTCCGTAGTGTAGTGGTTATCACGTTCGCCTCACAGCTCAAGGCCAGCCACACATAGGTGTAGAGCGCTGACTAGCCAATAGGAAGGAAGGTAATTCCAGGGAGTCGGGACGAGTAAAATACACACAATAAGAGGTTCGAATCCCGTCTCGGCCGCAAATAACATAAAATGAATTTGTATTCATTTTTCATCTAGATACACCAAGTACGATTAACATATAATAAACGAACTTTGTGCACAAAGATAAAATAAATCTTGTAATAATTGTTCTTGTGTAGGATGTACAAAATGTGCAATGATCTTAATAAACATTTACATTATAATGGGGTATAGTTATCTTTAATATAGAAAATGTGAATGTGAATAATTAAAAAAAACATTTTGATCATGTTTTAGACCTTTATTTTTAAAGAGACATTCACTTTATATTTGTATAACTATGTACAGAAAACCCATATATATGAAATAGAACAAACTCACCAAAAAGTAAGTTTTTCATTTTATATATATTAAAATAATATACTTATTATATAAAAATGAAAAAGGTAATTACTACAGTATAGTACTAACCAAAATATTGAATAATTAAATAAATATACATAAAATAATTATAGATTAAACTACAACAACTAATATAATAAAATGTAAAGATGTGGAGAACACAGAAAAAAAACAAGAAAAATATGTTTTACATTAAATAATTATGTACAATTATGTATGCTTAATAGTAACAGTTATTAACATTTAGTGTTTACAAATCTGAGCAAGATAAAATATCAATGCAAGTCAATAAAATGTAATATCAATAAAAAAAAAATCTATAAAATTAATTAATTTTTAATCAATAAAAAAAAAAAAAATCACACTAAAATACAGTGCAAACAAGGCCAATACGTCTGGTATTTTAATGAACAAATGGAAATAAATGAAACTATTTGAATGTATAGATTCAACAACAATAATAAAATCTAAAGTTGTTGAGAACACAGAAAAAAAAACAAGAAAAAAAATCTACACTACCAGTCAAATGTTTTTGAACAGTAAGATTTTTAATGTTTTTTTTTTAAAGAAGTCTCTTCCGCTCACCAAGCAGAATTTGATCTTTATTTGATCTGAAATACAGCAAAAGCAGTAATATTCAGCAGCTAGAATTTTAACTGGGGTTAGGGCTGGCGACCATATAACTCCTGTTTTGAAGACGTTACACTGGCTCCCTGTTAAATACCGCATAGATTTTAAAATCTTAATGCTTACATACAAGGCTCTGCATGGTCTCGCAGAAAGTGTCACATGATCCTTCAGAAATCATTCTAATATGCTGATTTGCTGTTCAAGAAACATTTATTACACATGTATATATTTAAGAAAAATATGTTGTTTATATTATAAACATATTTATATATAATATAAATTATACGAATATACATATATACATGCAAATACATTTTGAAATATATACTGTATGTGTGTGTATGTATATATACATAATAAATGTACACACACACACATTATGTAAACAAAAACTTTTTTTGGATGCGATTATTTGCGATTAATCATTTGACAGCACTAATTATATATATATATATATATATATATATATATATAGTATTGTAATTTTATATTTATATGGATATATATTTGCAACCATAACATTGCTTTTTTTTTTTACAATTTTAAATTAATTGTTTTACATTTGAATATATTTTCTAATTATAATTAATTGCGTTAGGCTAACCGAGACTTGTCATTTGCACTTATAAATTGTTGCTCTTTTGTTAGTTTTGACTGCTTTTATTGTCCTCATTTGTAAGTCACTTTGGACAAAAGCAAAATGAAAAATGGGGGCAAAAACAAAAGTGTTGCGTTTATAATTATATATTTATAATTTTCAACATTTACAGTGTGGTACAATTTAAAATAACTTTCCTATGTTAAATGTACTTTATTCCTGTGATGCAAAGCTGAATTTTAAGCATTATTACTCCAGTCTTCAGCATCACGTGATCCTTCAGAAATTATTCTAATGTGCTTTCCAACATTGTAGTGGCATTGATAATATCAACATTGATTATAATAAGAAATGTTTCTTGAGCAAATCATCATATAAATGATTTCTGAAGGATCATATGACGCACTGAAGACTGAAGTATAATGATGCTGACAATTCAGCTTTGCATCACAGGAATAAAGTACATTTAACATAGGAAAGTTATTTTAAATTGTACCACACTGTAAATGTTGAAAATTATAAATATATAATTATAAACGCAACACTTTTGTTTTTGCCCCCATTTTTCATGAGCTTAACTCAAAGATCTAAGACTTTTTATATATATACACACACACACACACACATTGTTTTTATAGAACAGCACACATGGTTAAATTAACTGAAGAATCATAAACTACACACTACATATTATATTACACTATTAACCTGATTTGATTGTGTTCAACATGATATAGCAAGACATCTATGAACATTCAACTTTGCAATCAAAGATATTACAATAAAATACAGCAGTTGCATTATCTATAAAGAATTTGGTTTACTGTGTGGTTTACTGCTGAACACACAGTAGGCTAAATTCATAAAGTAAGCTCTGTTAGGCCTATCTATTTATTTATTTTGTGTACAGTATTTGCACTAAAGACTTGAAAATCACATACCATTCAAAACAACTGATGTTATTAATCATACAAATATGATTATATAACAATATAATAATTAATTGTACCATTTTTTTCCAAAAAGAAGCATAGAATTCACTTTACCTGCTTGATGAGAGTATCGCGCTGATCTCTGAGGTAAAAACAAACAAAAAACATTCTTGAGGTAAAATCTGAAGACTTTTATAACAACATAATAACAAATCAATTACGTAATAGTTAATAAAGCCGAGGTAGTTTAACAGCGTATGTTGTTTAAACAAAACAATTTTGTGAAGAAATCTCCGATCATATATATTGCATCCGTAGTGTTAAGCACTACCATAGAGAATTAATGAATTCCTTAATTTTTCTGTAACAATCTTGATTACGTATCCCAAAGCTACATGAAATCAGGTTTTTTCATCCAATCAATAATGCTTCCAAGACTTACCACTTCCCTGGCCATTTCCAACACAATATATTGTAAATCTACACATTTATTTCAGCAACAAAAAACTCAAACAGCCTATTGTGTTACAAGAAGCAACATAATAACAACACCATAATAATAAATTCATAAATAACTACAATTTTCATGCCTAAGCAGGTATCTAATTGTCTACCACATAGGGCTGTCGCGGTTAGGAAATTTCCCTTGCGGTTATTATGGGTGGCTCAATAGCGCGATACGCGGTGTTACCGCGCTTTTTTTTTTTTTTACAAACCTTTTTTATCCTGATTTTACTGCATACAAAGCTCTATTGTTGCGTTATTATGTAGCATATATTGTTGCTTTTTAACTGACAGAGAGACACGTTTTAAAACATTTTTGTTTATTGTTAAATGCCAAACCGCAATAAGAACATGCCTTTTCCAATTTAAAAAACAAAAGATATAAAAAAATTCTAAAGTATCAAATGAAAACAAGCAATAAGAAAATCCTTTTTCCAATTTGAAAAACGAAAGAATTCTAAAGTATCACATGAAAACAAAGTGTTGGCCTAAGTGAAAATACAGAGAATAAACGAAATATTACTTAAGCGTTAACGAATGTGATTTAGACCTGGGTTATCATGTCCTTGTTTCGCGCTAGGAAAACCAACATATTAACCTTTTGTGGTTTCAGGGAGGATCGCACGGGGGTAACAATATTCCCGGTATTCCCGGCAACCCTTTCCGACGGTGTGCTCGTTGCACAAATACACATGTATTTGCGCGCAACTTTGGAAACTTTGGACAATCTAGACTGATTATCGCGCCACCAGGACAGTGGATTCGCGTTGGAGTCTATGCACTCCTCCTGCAGGTAGCGCGTGAGCTCTTTATCTGCTCGCACTCTCTTGGGTTTGGGCGCTGACGCAGGGGTTGTCCGTGACTTAAGCAGGTCTCCAACAGTCTTTTTCTTTGCTGCAGGTGGCACCAGGCCCGTTGCTCGAGCAGTGCGGTCCTTAACGCTTGTCATTGCGTTTGTAACTGCCAAATGTAAATTGTGACCAAAGCAGTTCAGCCAAGGCCAGTTCAACTTTTTGACTGCTGCAACGATGTTGGCCCCGTTGTCTGTAGTGATACAGGCCAGCTTCTTCTCATCCAGGGACCACTCTTCAAATGCGTGCCGGAGAGCATCCGAAATATTGTCGGACGTGTGGTTTTCGGGCATAAACACTGTTTCGAGGCAACGTGATTTCAGAGTCCATTCCATGCTGAGATAATGAACCGTTAGACTCATATAAGGAGTCATATTGACACTTGACCACATATCAGTTGTGGCAGAAAAGTAGTCGACATTCAAAAGCTCCCTTTTGATCGATGTCTTTACCGTGTTGTACATTTTCGGCACAGCAGTCTCTGAAAAGTAGGTTTTGCCCGGCAACTCGTACTGCTTGTCGAATTTTTGAAGCATCGACTTGAATGCAGGTTTCTCCACCGTATTGAATGGAACCATCTCCTCAACTAGATACTGCGTAACAGCGGCTGTAAGGCATTTATACCTGTTACTTTCACGGTTGTATTTGACAGATTTCGCAAAGGCTTCAGCTACTCCTAACTGTCGGCTGGTACCGGCCTCAGCTGTTCTTTTTGATGTTGCTCTGCGACCTGATGCTTGAGGGGGCAGCTGCGCTTCAATGGCTGGATGACAGTTAGCGAGATGACACCTCAAATTAGATGTATTGCTGCGTGTCACAGGGACCTTTTTGCAGCAAATTTTGCATATCGGTTCATCTAAATTTGCTGGCTCTCCCTTTTCATTGGGTTGAAAGCCGAAATGTTCCCAAACTGGCGACGTGACATTAGGTTTTTGGACGAGAGCGCCTGCCATCGTTTCAGTATTCAAAATCAACGAAACCCCAGATACAAACAGTTCGCGGGAAAATGACAAACCTCTTGTATCATTATTAATTTATTTAACATTCAATGCACAGTGATGAATTGTAAAACAGAAAGAAGGCCACAGCCTTATGAAAAAAAAAACAAAAAAAAAACGTGAACACTGCGGTTGCCGCGGTTGCTTTCCTTCCTCTGCGGTTTGCTCGTCAATAGCGCGGTATTACAATATTGCGGTTATCGCGACAGCCCTACTACCACATCAAGGCGCTATGACATATCCACTTACGCCAATTAGCCAGGAAAGCGAAAAGCTTTCTCTTGGTAATCAGTTATCCGAGTGACCATCTATCATACTCTAAAAACCAGCTCAACCAGCCAGTTGCGAGTTTGTTGCTGATCCAAGATGATCTACCACCTTAGACCAGCTAGAAACCAGCTACCACGTTCCAAAACAAAACAAAACAGATTAAGAAGCATTTCCAGCAGGGATTGCATTAAATCTATTTGTGTGCAAAGAAAGATCACTGATCAATTAATATTCAGTGAATTTATTGTACAAATAGGAGTATTGCAAGCATTCAAATCTAGCAAGTCTCTCCAAGGGTATGAGTAAAATACTATCATACAGAACCAAACCAAAATCAGAGAAACAAACATACATGTATACACAATGCTGATGAACAGGACTCATCACTGTTCCACTTTCCAGGAAAATCATTTTTTTAGTCCATGTGCAGAGGTTTCTCATTTTAGCACTTAGAAGAAAAAAAAAAGAGAAAAGAACACTTGGTATTAAGACAAAGAATGAGTCTACAAGGTCTCCAATGAAATGCATTCTGCTAAAGGCATTAAACACTTTTGTAATACTCGGATATATTTTTTTTAACAGCAGTGATCCTTGATTGTTGCCTCTTGATGATAAAGTTGTTATGGCAACGAATGAACAGACAAGCCTTTGGTGGAAGGATGAAAGCAATAAAAATTATATTTACACAGAAGTGAGAGAGACAAAAATGCCTAATTCAGTGAAACGAGGCACTTCTCCAACAAAGGCGAGGATAAGAGAAACCAAATTACCAGCCATTCTCCATGTTTATCTTAGTAGGAGTGCTGCTTTACCAAATCGTCCACTGCATGTAGAGTTACAGCTGACAGGTCAAATAGCTGTTGTACACTAGTGAGGATTTCTACTGGTAGTTCAGAGATCAATTCAAGATTGGGCGGCATGTTACCTATTCTACAACAGAAGGTTTCACATTGATGGGATACTGGATAACGCATCAGCACCATCTCGGGCCAAATGTTTCATACAAACAAAAGTCAAGGCTTAAGGTTCTTATAAAGCACAAATGACAAGTATCAGTATAACAAATACACCTTTGCTGCTGGCAATGTCAAACAAATTAATGATACATTTCAGGGAGCGTCTCAAAAGCTTTACTTGAGTAAACGTTCTCCTCCCTACAACAACAGAGGCATGATAACCTCAGAGGATGCTGATGATCATCCTTTTCGCCAAAATAAAGATTGCACACAGAGAAATAAATAACAGTATAATCTTGTTTGCTTTGTTTTAGGTAAGTTAGGTTCCTATAACAGATTTTACGTGTCCATAATGTGCCTTTCAAAAGTGTTATTTACAAAGTGACATGAGACACAAACTGGCCTGCCCTTTCAAAGGACAATCAATAAAGTGCAATAAAAAAGATACAGTACAATGAAAGGGGCTTGACTTGATGGACAGGGAAAAAGAGACATGAGAAAGTCACTAAGCTTTGGTCATTAACATAAAACAACACAAGTCTCATTAAGCATGTGTAAAGCACAAAGGTATGCTGTGACTCTGCAAGGTACAGTAAAACTTGCTTATGGGTCTGTTTGTGGTCCGGAGCTGGTTTCTAGAGATAATCTACTACTGCACAGGATCAGGAATCAGATGGAGAGAGGGCAACAGGAGTTGTTGGAGAGGGAATGGTATTGGCCAGATTATAGGTCGAATTCGGTAAGGTACCCTGAGAGGGCTGTACATTGAGGAAAGGAGGTCTAGTGGTGGGTGTCTGGGGGGATGTTGTCGCTGTAGTTGGGGAGTCCAAGCTGACTTCATCCCCTTCCTCCGAGTCCCATACCTCACTCTGCAGGTAGTCTGCAAAGAGGGCTTTAGCTCGCTGCAGAATACGCCCAAGGCTCTGGCGACGGACCAGGCGGTCAAAGTGCATGGCCAGCTCATTGTAATCCAGGCTGTTTTTGACAATGTGGTCACGGTGTTCCAGCAGGATAGACAGGCAAAGGAAAAGCATGAAAGGATTCCCTTTCCCAAACTCTTGAGGAGGAGGAAGCGAGCAGGGTTTAATTCCGCCTCCTTCTGGTTTGTTTGTGTTTGGAGAGGTTATGCCAGACCCGGTGGGCCTGCATGGCGAGGGAAGATTGCTGGAGAACGCTTTGGGCAATGACGGGGACTTGCCGAAGGATAAAACCGGAGAAGAGAGACACGAACGATTGTAACTCTGCGATGGAGATGCCAGTAAAGATTTCCCTGGGACCACTGATGGGGATTGAGCCCCAGTTTCGTTCATTACAGCTTGTGAGGACATGAACCCCCCAGGAGGTTTATCAGGAGACACAGCTTTGTCCCCACTAGACGAAGAGGATGTGCATTTTGAAAGGTCATCGGGAGATGCCGTTCTCCAGCTAGATGGAGAATTAGATGCTTCCGGTGAATGATTAGAGCTACTCTTCCAATTTGGTAGACCAGAAGGAAGAGATGATGCTGGGGAAGCTGCATGACCATTGGGAGAGTCTCTTTGTCCTGGAGAAGACGGCGTATGATTACCGATAAGAGGTTCCTGCTCTCCAGGGTCATCCTCACTTTCCTCTGTGGACTGGCGGACAGAGAATGGCAACGTGGAGTGTGCAGACTGAAACTGTACTGGAGATAATGTAGGATCAGAGCAATCGTTTTCATTAATATCAAAGCTGTCCTCGCTTTGGCCACTATAGTTCTTGAATTCCCCAAAACTTGCCCGTTTCTCAAATGAGGGAGCTGGAGCGGTGACATCATTCTTGACCATGTCATCTACACCGTACTCTCCTTCACCTTCCTTCCGAGGGCCCTTCTCCTCCTCTACGATGAGGCTACGTCCCCCATCTGCCTCCTCTCGGGACGGTCTTAGCATGTGACGTCTCCTCTGCCTTTCCGTCTGCTTCTCATCAATCTCCTCCATGTCCACATTCTGATGGACATTCTGTGAGCCATTGGACTGATCTGCCTCAAGTGTTGGCCCCAGAAGCTCCACCTCTGTCTCAGGTGGATCAGGTGGCAAGGAGCTCCAGGTGACCTCAAGCATTCTCAGGGCATCATCAAAAGCGAATTCCCGCTTCAGCTCCAAAAGCAGCCAGCGGTAACAGAAAAACAGATCGTCGGCACCTTTTGAGACTAGGTAGGCATAAAACTCAGGGTCTGAATACTGCAATAGCAACTTGAGATGCTGGAACTTAATGGACATTAGTTGTCCGTCAGGGCGGAAGTTGCCCTCAAGACGTTTCATAATGCCACAGAAGCAGATAAAGGCATGAGCTTCGTTATCCATGACAGCTAGAATTGGCGAGGCAATGTCGCTCATGCCTTGGCAATAAGACACCTGTAAAAGCAAACAAGGACAGTTTATTTCCCACAGAGGTAAAGGCACATCCTAGTGTTATCAAATGGGATTACTGCGTGTTTACCTGTGGGTGTGTAATAGCAAAGGTGGTGAGAAGGTCTGTCAATGCGGTGAGATGTGGGCTGTCCTCTGATCCTGCGTAGTAAGGATGTGCTCGGTCTGT